AACGCCTTGTGTGTCGCCGTCGACAGAGTCTAATCCAATATCTTGTGAAGTGGCGGTGATACCCAAACTCCGAGAATTCGTGGGGGTTCGAGGTGCCACTTCGGCAAGACTGCCCAGACGTCATGGACGCTTATGATCAGGGGGATCATGACGCTTCGCGTTGTAGTGAGCCCCGCGCTTTTCGGCAGTAGCCGAGGAAGCCGAAGGACCATGAGCTGAGCTCAATTTATGGCCTTGAGCTGCTGTGGTTGTAGACTCACCCGTGTGAGAAACCACACAGCTCGCGGGAGCGTTATGGATTGTTCCCTATGTCGCAGGGCGACAATACGCAAGATGTCGGCATTGCGCCTTGAGTTTGGCAAACTCAAATCTAAGATGGCGCTCAACGCGCACGTCCACCTTCTCGTGGCTTCGCTGTAAGGTAGACAGCGAGAAAATTTTCCGGTGCCGCTGCACCCATCGCTCAAAAAGCTCCTCATCATCCGAAGCGGTTTTGCCAGGGGCGACCACTACGGGAATAGTCCGTATTAGCGCCTCCGTTCTGATTCAAAGTCGAGCGGTACCATTTCATTGGATTTCTTGTGGTAGCAAAAAGCAAATTCAAAAAGATTTTCGGTGGTCAAGCGTAGCTTGTGTAGTGACTGGGGCCCGACAACGTAGACGTCTAACGATGGAGTGATCGCGTCGTTTGCTTCAGTAGCGGGATCCGCCGAGTGGAAGCCCTATTCCACACGAGGGTCTGAGACCAAACGTGGATACGAGTGCATGAGAGCCACCCTGTGGGCAGCATCCAACTGCTGCTCCTGTGCCTCGTCGAGGCGATTTGTAATAGAACCACTTCCCCTGGAAGCAGAGAGGTCAGGGAACGAACACGGTGTCCGCAAGGTTTGAGCTAGACCCACGTCGCGCCGTTTGGCGCACCTCATCTCTCTCGTCTTCCCATCTGGGATGGAATCGTCTGACTCGTAGTCGATTTCCTCCGAATCCCCGACGAGAAAAATCGTCGCTCAGGGCGGGCGCGGTGTGTTGCGCTCGGTTGCCGAGGGCAAGGGATGGGCTCCCCGTGAAGCCGCGGAAGTACTGTCCGGAGTTTCAATCAGATTTTTCATTAAATTCTAAGATGCACCCTGTGCAGAAGAAGAAGGCTTTGTGGGTGTTTTGCGTGTCTTAGACACAAGGCTCATAGAGCGGAGAATGTTGAAAGTTGTTGTTAAGAAAGTGAAGGTGTCTAGACACGCGAGCCTCGTATGAGACGACCGTTAAATGTGAATTGTGGATACTCTCCATTTTTATAAGGGGTGTAACGGGGTTACACGTCCCCTTGTATGAAAGGGCGGGTCGCACAAGATGGTGTGACCGTACATAGGTGAGGATTGCACAAGTTTGTGTAATCACGAAATGGTGTGTCTACACCGTAGCAAGAAGTCACTACGTGGCAGGATTGCCAGCAGTAAAGCATATTAATAAGGTTTTACTATATGAATTCGGTATTACAATAATAATAAGGAAAACCTAGAATTTTAGATATTGGCGGCTCTGCACCAACTTCCGCTGCCCTCGTACTGGTTCTTGTGAAGAACGGCCGTCATGATTATACGTTGCACGTTGAAGGTTGGTGACCTTAGAGTGCTACGGCAGCCCCGCTGCACTCCGCACATAGACTTGGTCTGCTTAATTTATCTCCTTGTCACGCGGCTTCCTAATTTGGACACATATAGCCCAATGCGCTATTTCGCCATTTGGCGTATGAGCGATCTTATCGCAATTCTCGTCCTTCTAACCCAGAGATAAAAGCTTCTTCGTACGTGTCCTCAAAGAGCTAGACAATCAGCAAAAACAGCCGTACTGTGAATACCAGGTGTGTTTTAATAATGCCATTTACCGCATGGAGCACTGTTTAGTCCTAGACCTGGATCGAAATACGAGCTTACTCTAGCTATGCGTGGATGGATGTCATGTACCATGGGTCGACAGGACGGTCGCAACAATTAGGTGGGGCTTTTGGTGCGTCATGAACCCACTTCTGCTAGCAAGTTGAATTACTATTGGCGCGAGTATGAGGCTGCGATAGCTTCGACGCAGGTTATTTGGTTGCCCACGTTTGAGAGTCTTGAACTGGAGTGGGAAGGAAAACTCGGTGGTAGTCCGCGATCTCTAAAGAGGACGGAAATCAGCGAGCGTACCTCGAGTTAATATATATTGAGACGAGCTTTGTGAAGATATAAGGTATCAGGTGGAGCAATTAATCACAGCTGTAAGCCGTAGGTCCCGAGATAACTACCGGCGATCATATTTATGCGACCGGGTGCCGCAGACTCCAGAACTTGATCGCGTGGAGACGAGTCCGAGCGGCTTAGTGTTGCAGTCACTGATCAAGACCTCATGGAGACTGGTAACTGTAGGATAGGACAAAGTACGGTTATGGCGTAACGAAGAAAATTTCATCTATACAATGTTACAGTAGGCTGAGTCGGCCATGCCATGTGATGCGTCAATCGTGCAGAGCATTGTAGCTCCACAGATTTGTGGCGAGCAAATGTATTCACACAAAAGTGGAAGTCCAAAGAAATGTATGTCTGCCCTTCGCTAGCCCAGGTAGAAGCTCTCATTAGGTGTCTATATAGGACGTATGCAAATAGTTGAAAGATGATGAAACCACCAGGTTTGCAATGAGATTGCCCTGCACCCTGCACAGAAGAGGCTTTGGCTCTACAAATCCGCGTTTGCGAACGAACAGGCGGTGGATTTGTGCAGACCACCCAAGTGTTTGTCAACTAGTTAGTAAACTAGCATATCCAGCTTATATTGACATTGACTATATATCTTTTACCATATATCATCGTGCGCTTGAATCTGTACAGATTCAAGCGCATGGTTGTACAGATTCAAGCGCAAGGGTTAACACACCGTTCCTGCTAACTTTTAGTTAATAAACTCTCATTAACCTCATTTCACCAAGTACTAATCATGATTTTTTTCACTTTTAAGCTGGTCCTACGATTAGCCCTTCGGCTATGTACTCCGTTTTATATATCATCTACATCAAGTCTGAGCACATGAGCGCAGAACAAAAAGTCAGCGCTAGCTCACTCTCTCGAAACTGGTGTATTTATAAAAGCTCGTTGTGGTCGATCGCTTTCTTCAGAGAGCCTACATTTTCATCCCATCATAGATTAAAAATGCACATACTGTTGCGGACGGGCAAGTGTGGATCGGCCTTTGCTTATTCTCATTCTGGTTGTTCTAACACAAGAAAAGTCTGCATACATCGTAACTTACACAGACAAAGCGATTGTCTACCTTCCTCATCTCAATTACCGTGGGCTCGTTATCTATTTTATCTTTGATTACGCAAAGTGTCGAGCTCCTGGCTAAGCATCGCGCAGAATGCTTGACAGATTGAATGGCATCTTTTTTATTTAAAGCATAAATGGGGGCTTCAGATAGATATGCGCAAAGACTTTTTAAAAGTTGTTTACCATTTTGGTGTGGTTTACAAGAAGATTAGTAATCCACTTTTTAGTACTAGAATGTGATTAGCCAGTTCTTTGGTATGCATCAATGATGTTTATGTCAAAGATTACTAAACACGGACGTGCGTAGCGTTATAAAACAAATATTGTTTCATCTGAAACGAAACAAAACAATAAGGGACTCGCGGCCTACAGCGAAGATAAGAGCTTGATATGGGTAGCTAGTGAGAACTCATCTGACCTACTTCATGAGAGTGACTGCAATTATTATATTGCTGCACCTTACCTAACATCTTTGACTGTGCTTCGAAAGAACTTGGGATGCTTTAATGCCATAAACTATTTCTTATGTTTAGCCGATCAAAGACAATAAGATGTTTAGGTTTTCAGCAAGAGCATCGTTTAGCCTCTACTTAAGAAAGCCAGGACCAAAACACCCTATGTCAGTCGAAGGCTGATAGTCCGTAAAAACGCAACGTTTGTTTTTGATCGCATTTCCTTGATAGATAAACACGCACGAACTTCCTCAAAGTGCACTGTGTAGTTTGCCGTCATTATTTGACTTCGTTACCCGCCCACATATGTCACGGCTCGGACAAATGGACATAGCAAATTGCCAGGTTATCTACCTGTTCAATTATTTTCAATATGGCAAGATTCTTGAATTCAACGCACTGTACATCACTGTACGAATTGATTTCTTGAAGTTGCTCATTTAGTGTGCATCTAGGATTTTGTCTACATTGCGGGTATTCCCAACCAGCCAACCCTGAAATTGTACGCCGTTCACGGACGTTTAACAATCGAGTCTTGGCCTCAATCGACAACAGCAGCAAGAGCATATAGTACATCTAGTAATACATGTGTTTTAAATACTGGTTCATAATGTTCACGGTCATTTTCACGCCATGCGGTATTTTCACTGACCACTCGTCAGCAGACCAGTTGAGACATGGGCAACGAAGAATGGACTGTCAGCGTGCTCTTTTCACTTCGGTAGATCAGAAATGTTCACAATGAAAGAACTATGACAGAAGTGTAGAGCCGTTCTATCTCTCATAGTAATTGAATTCAACATGATAGATGTAGAAACGAGTTCTGACTTTTTTTCTCAAAATGCCAGAATTTTCAATACAGCAGTGACGACAACATCAAGCAAGAAAGTAAAAATATGTTTGGAAGCGCCCATGTGATTGCACAATCATTTGAGCAAAACATGCGGATCAGTGGCAAAATAACTGAAACCTATCTGGTTCTCTTCAGATCACATTAGTTAAAGATTGTGGATAGTACTTCCCGAAGTCTTTTGCTATCGAAATATGGGCAGAATAAACACTAGTTCATTTGACATGGACTCGACTTTGTATTGAAATTAAGAGGGGACAGCATGCCGATGTAGCGAACTTCATTTGACTTGATATCTGCGAGCATGAGAAAAGTACGAAGACGCGAAAAAAGTTCGTGTATCACGAGGTAACTAATTAATTCATAAAACTCAATTAATTTAATCAGTTTTTATGTTTAGTCCTTTAGAACAATTTGAAATTTTATATTTCCCATTATAAATAGTTACTACTTCATCTGCCCCGTTTGGCCAGCATTAATGAGTCCAGGTGTGGGGCTCACCACCACCTGTGACCATTATTCTTCATTGATTATCGCTGAGGCAGCAGGCTTGCGCGAAATAAATGGCCTCGTGAATTCCACATGCTTTCAAAAGCCCAGCTTCGTCCCTAATCATTGAGTATAATTTGGCGAAATTGTCTTTGCTGCCAGCAAATGAATCTTGTTCACTACTGACCGAGTGCTTTATTCAAACACAATCGTGTGGTTCTCATCAAGTCTCACGATAATTGGAAAATTAGCGACTTCACGTACTCCATAAGAAATACTTTAAGACCTGCAGTTTGGGCCATTGTGCTGAGCGCATGCGAGTTCGATAGAGAAAAGTTTTGTGAAGAAGCGTGTACTTGCTTGATGAGGAAATTTACGGCATAAGACTTTAAGCTGGTTAAGCTAGCCCATCGCCATTTCCACACCTGGCATTCAACTCTTGAATCGTCAAGGATGATTATCTCGAAGTGGCTGCCATTCAAATGCTGGCATCCTTTGGCGCAAGTCTGTTGCACGCCACTTAGGATGTTAGCGCTTCTGGATGCAGCGAGGATCTTCAGCACCCAGTAGCTGACTGACGATAAATCCGACTCTTCAAAAAGTACGATAGCATTGCTGCTTCGATGTTTCTAGAATCTTAAGCAAAAATTGGTCATGACTAACTCAACAACTATTTTCTCGAATGTTGATATAACCCGAATTTATCGTTTGCTTCCTCTCTTGCACACATTGCAACTCACAAGGCAGATCTCTGCTTTGCTTGCGATGTCAAATTGCGCGGCTTATTACTCAACTTCAGCATCCCGGCTTGATGATAATCTTTTTTACAAAGAATGCGCACCCACTACTACATTCGTAAAGAAAGTTGCAAGTCCTGGTCCAGGGCGTAGTTACTAGCAGTACAAGTATATAGCTTTGCACCATACTGGTGATCTGTTTTACGGTGCAAGTCTTGCGATCGTATGCCGCAAGGATCCTAGACGTTGAAGCTGACGAGGGACGACAGGCACTCCACCGTAAACATCACTGTTGGCTCTGTACAGATTCCACTCTTACTTCGACCTTGTACTGTAATGGTATATAGAATTAGGCCTTCCATCTTATATCTTGGTTGTCATTACGATTGTATTTTCTTAAGTATGTTTTAAGCAATAGCAAAGTGATTAATTGATTGTATGGTCTGCTTCTGCTAATTGTCGCAATACCCCAAGCAATGCGGTTTGCGCCTTGAAGTTGAAGATATATTAGATCTGCTATGTGTGGGACTCTCTATGCTGCTGCACTTAACACTTTTTGTGGCTTTATATCTAGTCGACCGACAATGCGGCTTGCATGGCAAACAGACGCGCGCTTTGTCACCTCAATTCTCTTTGCCACTTCAATAATTTCTGAACCAGTCAAGTAATCTTGACTGTAGGACATTACCCTCCACGACCACACCATATGTAGTTAGAAACGCATATACTGGTCAATAATAAACGATATTTCTATGATAGCGGCACACCAGATGGTTGATGCACCATTCGAGCCGCATACGAGTCAGCTTGTATCGATGGGCGCACAAGAGCTCCTCCTCGTTCGTGCCTCCGCCTATCGCAGATGCATGCTGATAAATGAGGGCTTACACTTCGACTTGCTTCTCTATGAGACGCAACCAAGCTGTTGCGCTTCAGGATATCAATAATTATGAGGAGCACTTGTGTCGAAATGACCAGCTACGTTGTCTGATTCGGGCTACATTTAGTTTTACATTCGTTTACACGACTTGTACACTTTGATATCGTCAATGCTGTGGTCCGCCATTGCGACACAAAGCCACCTGCGCTGACGATTACCCACCAGAAGCGTATTATAGAACATACATGAAAGAACTTCCATTTATCTACTGTAACGATAGTAGCGACTCTAGAAAGCAGTTAGAATGGGATAGGCGCATGAGGCTGCAGCTGTCGGCTAGTGCGACACGAAATTTTCCTGTCATCGTTGTTGTAATGCATCGTTACCCGTCTGCCAGTCTGTTGAGAATTTCTCGTTGATAACTCAAATCGTATACGGATTTCAAGCTGCCCCTTTGCCGCGATGCGCTCATAACTTCTGGTGCGTGAAACACATGAGCTTGCACAAGAAAACAGTGTTCATCTGTTTTTTGATGATAATTATGTCCACTTGTTGCTGTCTCCATTCGGTGCTCCAGCTGAACGCGCGAGCTGTTGTTCGTAGTAATCAGTATTTAAGTGCACTTACTTAAGAATTGAAGCGCCTGCATTTTGTGAATTGTGACATAAATAGTTTTTCAGTCCTACCTAGAAGTTTGCTAAACTGTGTCTAAAAGCTCAATTCGAACCTTAACAGAGTTAATACAATAGACATTGCCGATTTAGAACCTTTACAGATCGTCAGTCCGAGTCTCGTAGATGTAATACTATTCCATACAATTGAGAAAGGAATTAGGTGAAATTCAGACTGGTCGTAATCATCAGATTCTGACAGTTACAGTAAAGTACTGTACAATAAGGTGTGCCTGTACAGTATCGAAAGTAAACACGATCGAGAAAAAGCGGCTGGATTTTGAAGAGCTGGTTTACGGCTGCGTAGTGAGAGAATTTGGTTCTCAGTTCGCATCGAAGGATTCGAGCGCCATGATGGGCGTGTGACTGCGGAGACCACAGCGAGCATAGTGGGTACCGCACTGTACTGGGCTTGCCCCATCAGTGCTAAAGTGTTTCTGCCGTTCAAGTCTCTTGTGCTCAGAGACTTCATTCACAAAATTGTCGGCAGCAAGCGAACTCAAATCGAGTAAGCTAGCAACTTCCCTACACTTCATCATCATAGCAGTTAACTTCTGCACCTATTTCCACTTTTCAACTTCCCTTCAACTACCATGAGCCTACAGACTGCAACGCCGCCACAATACAGCACCTCTAAACCTTCCGTAGGTGTCGGTATGTGGACTGAAGAAGAGCATGCTCGTTTTCTCGAAGGTGTAAAGCTCTTTTCGAGTGGACCATGGAAACGCGTTGCGGCTTATGTCGGCACACGTAACGTCCGCCAAACTATGACTCATGCCCAGAAGTATCGATTAAAGGCCGCTCGTCGATTGCGTGAGGCACAACGCAAACAAGCTGCCGCACGACACGGACTTCACAGCGCACACAGAGGAACTGCAGTCGAGACTGCACTTGCTCAACGAACATTGCAGTCACCGACAACTACTGGAGGACTCGGACTTGGATCTTATTCAAAGATGCGACTGCCGTGCAGCTGCACTGAAAAGGACTGCCCTCACATGGACGATGCAAGCAAGATCTACATGTCCATTGCAGATGCAATTGAAATTTTAGACTCCAAGTCATCGATTGACTCAGTCGCAGGCTCACCAGTCTCAACGGACGACACACTTGGCAACTCATGGCTGCACGTTGATGCCTTTGATCCCGTTATCAAGATGGAAGCGTTTGACAAGGACGAACTCATTCCGCTTGACTCTACAACTACTGACTCTAGTGAATTCCCAACGCTTGAAGACTGCGCCAGTGAGCTGCTGGAGCTGCTATTCTAAGCACTTTTGTGTGCAATCAATAATACCGTGAATGCGTGTAGCCGAAAGGAAGTGCATGCAGGCGTGACCCTATGTATTCAAACTATATTAACGACAGCGTGCTAGCTTCCTGTACCAATGATATACAGCATTTCCAAAACTAAGTTTCTACATAATACATCGTCTCGTATCTTGTATCTCAGCAACTGCAGTCTCTGCATGTCTCTCACACCTATATGCTGTACGTATATAATGTAAATTTTCTAAACTATCAGAAAGCGCCTGTCTTGGTTTAATGGACAGGACATAAGCATACTCCGCCAACCATTGTCGTTGCCATCGTTTCATGCCCCCTTCATATCTGCTAGTTTCTTACCAGCCTTTCCACATTTGAGCAAACATGTAATTACTGAGAACTGCTGCACTAGGTACGATATGTATACTATGTGAATGTGTGAAGGAATGTATCATGAAGCGATGTTATATACTGAACCAGAAGCGGCGAGGTCATCACGAGCACGTGCGCGAGGTAAAGTAGTTTGCCATTATACGCGACAGAATCAGCTACTAGTACAAAGTTTTTCAAATCAAACTGGTCAGAAAGAGTTAACAGACGTCCTTCCAGCGCCCAGCTTATACAAATCAGCTGAGCCTTCTTCGGATGCTTTCAGCCGATGAGCTGGCCGGCCGACCAGATGTGCATGGAGCGTGAAAGCTTGCTGTCGCAATCAAAGCCATCAGGTTCAAGATGATGCCCAGATTGATTTTAAAATCTTAGATTTTTCATATAGATGATCGGTAAGCACCAACAAGATCTGGGCGCTGAATATTTTGTGAATATAATTTCACATCAATCCTGCTCAAAAAACGTAGAAAGTATTACGACCAGAATAGCGTGCTTACAAGATAGGCGAGGTAAAGAAAAATGTGTACGTAGCTAAAAAAAATGTTAAGCGGTTGACTCAGGAGCGCGTTAGCTTGTGAAATGTATGGCTACCGAATACTGTTTTAGACAAGCAGCCCTGAGCGCCAAAGAATAAAAAAGACTATGCGAGTGTGTACGTTCAAGACTTGCGCCTTTGATCTAACGCAAGAACAAGATCACTGGAAAATTTATTACGGCCAAGCGATTGCGCATTTCGTATTCCCTATATTTTTTGTCTTCGATTCGTTGATTTTCTACCACCTCTAATATTTCCCAAAAAAATTGAAAGGTCTTATTATAATACAAAGAAGCCGGTGGAAACTTGGTATATCAAAACGAAAAGTTTGTTTTTCGCACAGACCATGCAACACTAACCATCATAGATTAGTAAAGATGAGCCCAAATATCTCGAAGAAAATTAGCAGATCGAGCGCGGATGTGGCAGAATATCTTATCCTGCAAAGCCCGTAACGTTCCCTAGAGTGCAGTTACTATGTAATGCAAAGTTTCGACACCCTTCTTAAGCAGCAGCTTCTAAGTCGTGCACGACGGATGCGACAACGACAGGCATATATTTTAGGAATTTAATACATACCAGACTAGAAGGTACACAAAATATAGAAAACTTTGGCAGACAAAAGACGGAAAAATCATTTAGCATTAGTAAATCATTTGAAGCGTTGGTGACTTTGTTCCTGCACATCTTTGACAAGACTTCTCACTTAAGATGTCCCATGATTATATTGGGAATGAGATCACAATTTCTTGTCAGTCATTTAACACTAAGCTAATTATTACCACCGTTTTATGAAACACAGCCCACTAAAATTTGTAGAGCTCAATTCACCGGTTCATACATAAACAAAAATGTACTGTACATGGATTTGATGCAAATATATGAAAGAGCTTTGTAATTAACCTTTTATGCTGCGTCGTACTGTAGCTAAAAGAAATCAGAAAATGTTTTCCCACTGTGATTGCGCCAGTCTACTACCGCGCTGACAACCGTATCACAATCGCTATGATATCTTCCCATCATAAAAGTTGCTCAATTCCTAATGGTTACCCTTGGATTCTTTTCGGAGTCAAAGTACGCCACATGTAAGCAGTTTGGCTAATATTGTAATAAAAAACTTATGCCTAAGATGCACGTTTTTCTTACAAAATCTTACACAAACCAGAAATTGGATATATTGTTGATTGTTCGACATATTAAATTGTTTCTATGAATGATGAGAATCATAATCATGACCCTTGGCGCTAGTACCTTCATAAGGTCTCACAAGATGAAAAATCGAGTTTTAATTTGAACATAAAAAATGTTGTTTTGCAACGTCTCTACGATTCTGTTCCGAGTAGGCAGACGAATCTCGTTCAGTCAAAAACAAACGATTAATAACTCGATTATGGTCTGAAAGTTCGGGCATCGTTTTAGAACAATAACATTGCTGCTTCGTCTTCTCAATCATTGGAAGATTAAGACACCTTGCGTTAGTAATTGTAGTGGAAAAAGCACAACTTCCTATTCGTAAAATACGACTTATGATTGGCTATTAAAGAATTCTTCTTTTTCTGCTAAAAATCCAATCAACATATAGCTCCTACGTAATTTGTAATCATTGAATACGTATCGGGTGTTCGATGAAATGCATTAGCTTGTCACATGCCCAAAGAACAATCCTGCGTAACCATCAACTCGCTTTGATGGTCATAAACAATAGAAGCAGTTGATGCGAGACTAACGTCAAATAAATGCTGCGATGACGTCCCAACTCTAGGTCGTCTCCTCTGACATGTATTTCACATGTAAGCCAAATCTTTTGTGGTTCAGCACACCAAAGACTTCCAAAGGCTGTTCAACTAAAAGTTTCTCTCGTGGTGATCAAGTGCAATAACTTTCGGTGGCAATTTGACTTTTTCACGAATTCTTCTTGATATAAATGACTACTGGATGGCGACAACTTTCTGCGTTGAAAGCAATGAGTTTCGTACTTGCCAGGAAATAACGTTGTGCGAGATATCTACTACAGCCTTGCTGATGGCGATAGTGAGCCAAGATTTGTCAATTTTCACAGATATGATGACACGATAACCTTGAGCTCAGCATTTCATGGCTACAAAGTTAAAGACTGACCGTCGAGGTTAGTCGGACGTTAGCTCGACTGTGGTGAGCATATTTACTCATTGATTTGTACCACCTCACGTCATGATGAGTAATATAAATACGCATTCTTCGTAGAGAAAGCGATACACGACTAACAGTCGTCGCAATTCCGCGTTGACAAGGAATTAAACAGCATGCGGTTGAGCGAGCGGTGTTTTTACTTTAAAAGCTAACAAGTTAGCTGAAGTTCTGCTAACGAGAAAGATCTGTCCAGCAGAACTTCTACACACGAAACTACTGAGCTCAGATTTCCAGACGACGAATCGGTAGACTGGCATGGAACGAGAAACGAGTGGAGATTGCTCGTATATAACGTTTGGCGAGTATTAAGCTTTTGCTTGTTACAAAGATAAGCTGGTGCTTCTGCTCATTGCCCATGTTGAACGCTTTTAAGGCTCTGACCCGGTTGACACAGCAATTTTGTATCAAAAGAGTGAATCTCATCCTTCAGGCATTTAAAGAAAAGTTTTTGAGAATGAAACACATGAAAGTAGCCTGTACATAAAGGAAAATGAAAGTTAGTATTTATACAAATAATATTTACTTGAACATTACTATTGAACTAAAGTATGCCTGAAGGAAGAAATACCAATTTGTAGCTTGTAACTATTTGTATAGTAGTGAAGACATTTGTGAGACTCGTTTGCTAGAGTGTCGAAAGCGAGTAGCCAAGCGCACGTTAATGAGTTTAAGCACAGCAACTGCAGAATGAGGAGCTTGAGATTCGAGTGTTTCCATTGCTGATGCCCGCAGACGCAACATAACGCAATCAGACGTGGCCAAGTACTTGTACTCTGGGTCCATACCCGCCACATTAGGTGTGATAACAGATCCTGGTCCGATCTTGAGTAACCGAGACTTAGCAGTCGTAAAAGGCGTCCACTGCGACTCTTCTGGTACAGCCAATGATAACCGATGTGGATTTAAGAGACCGCTTAAATCATTAGCATCGAATTCTTCGATTCTATCACTCAAATACAAATCTGGATTATCGCTATCTCCAACATCCGAATGCCGAACACCAGGAATACTATGTCCAGTCGAAAATTCAGAATCCATCACAAAGTTCATAAATCCAAAACAAATGAAATAAGTGTCGTCGCGCAGATGTTCGGGCACTAGTTGCGAGCCACTAGGTACTACAATAATTTCCAAATATGCTGCAAGAGGAAGCAGTTTCTGATAGCTTGCTGTACCATCCTGCTCGGGCGACGCAATCATAAATTGTTCCCAAAGTTCTAATTGACTCATTTGCTTGAATTCAATCAGGGATCTTCCACGTTGAGGTGATTTCGGTGTTATGTTCTCTGGAAGTAGTGCGTCCTCACAAATTTCCAATGCGATATCCACATCACTTCCTAGAAAATGAATACGCCGAGAGGTTTGGTTTTGACGAAGGGCAAGCTCAATCTCAGGTTTTAATCCACAGAAATAAATGTCAAACATGTACAAGTCAGCAAGTCTCGACGTTTTGCGAAAGTTTAGCAATGCAGTGGCATCAAAGCTTGGGACAAGACCAAAATCGATGATCACAAATTTGAGCTTTGGAAACTCGAGCGAATGGACCCGAGTTTCTATTCGTTCTATGATATTCACAGATGTTCCAAAGAAAAGGTATCCTTGCAGTCGTAAGACAAAAATGGCACTACCTTCCAGATCAAGAAATGCCGTTTGTTCTGGAGTTCGGTCCACGGCGCTGCGGGTCAGTGCACCCGTTGTTTCATGGTGTACACAACCCACTGCATGAATACGCCAAATGAGTTCAATCATAGAGATTATAATTCCCATCGCCACACTCTCTAGCATGCCAACAATCAGGAAGCTCAACGTAATGAGCACAACGGTGAACTTTTCAATAGGTTTTAGAAAATGGAATGGGGTCACGAGATATGCTTCTAAGAAATGCAATCCCACGCTCAAGAGCAGGCCACCAAAGATAAATTTGGGCACATATTGAAGCAGTCGGATCCCCATCATCCACAAAAGTATCACTAAACTCGCACATACAAGCGCTGGTACCTTTTCATGTGCTTCGAATTGTTTCATGATCCCCATTGCTGAGAGATAGTGACATCCGCCACAACAGCCCAAAAGCCCACTCGCAAGATTCGCTAATCCAATTACCCGCATCTCATTATCGGGTGAAATGTCCCGTCCAAAGAGTGTAGAGAGTGATGTCGTTGCTACGCTATACTTAAGTGCGCCAAGAATTACAAGTGAGACCATAAATCCCGTGCATTCATGCGACAAAGTGTGCCAATGAACGTGATGAAAGTCAATTTCAGACCATGGAAACCACATCGGCGTCTGTGCCACAACTAACGGATCCCATGAAAAGACCCATCCTTGTTTTGTTAACGTCTCCATACTAGCTCCAGAGAGAAACGACATGACTTGGAATCCTACAAGCGACAATGCTAATAGACATGGAAATGAAAATGCCACTGGTAGTTTCAAATATTGTCCAAGTCGGGCAAATCCAGCAAATGCAATAGCTGGAAGTAAAAGAAGTTGTACTTTCAACGTAAAAAATGCCGCAGTGACAGCTTTACTGGATGCCATGTGAATCCCATTCTTCATTAATTGGGCGCCAATGCCGGACAAAAATCCTGCAATGACAGGATATGGCATATAATTAGCAATCGAAGTAACTCGAAATAGTCCCATAATAAAAAAGACAAGTCCCAAGACGATGGATGTCATAGCGACCATAACAACAGTCGTAGGTACCACTTTATCCAGATCTCCATGCAAATGGTCTGAAATTCTCTCTGCCATATCAGCCATGACTGGTGCTACAAACACATCAATTGCACCTAATGTCCAAGGTGCACAACTTTGCCATGCAAGAATTACAGACAAGACAGCAGTTCCGAGCAAATTGATGTCAATAAAGTGGGCAATGACCGTCGAGAGTGGGGTCCCATGTCCTACTAAGACACTAGCACATGACACGGCTAGAGTCGAGGACAATAAGAAAGCTATAACACCAGATGTACCATTGACAACAATATCAACTAGTATCGTCTTGAATCGTCGCACATCTAGTTCCGATGTAAGGAGTGGACCACGTGATCGAAAGCTATCTTGAAGCGTAAATGTGATCTCTGAAGTATACTGCCCAGTACGGGGTACACTCATGGCTCCATATGGACCTGGGCGACTCCGACTGCGATTTTGGTATCCCAATAAAAGTCCGTGCTTTGCGGCATCTTGTACACTGCGCACGCGCCGCAAGAGATTTTCTGTCTCATGTGAAGGTGTGAGATTTTCGTGTGAGACAGCGTGGATAGGCGGTGAGGCCGCGGGCTGTAGCAACTGCGTCATCTCCACGCCACCACGTTCAAGAGGCAGCGCATCCGTCTCCATGACTGCAACGATTTGATGATTTGGGCAAGAGACGTTAGGTTGTTGAATAAAAGATTTACGTTAATCAAGTCAAGGAGTATTTAAACAATTTGTGCTGAAAAGACACAAGAATATTTCATAGTCTATGTGAAAGTTTCGCATTTCCGTAATACATTGTCGACGGGATAAACGTATTCGCCTTGATGTTTTACGTATTGTCTGACATATCCTCTCTAAATTTGTCATGCGCAATGAAAATATCGCGGTGAATACTTTTGTATCCCTTTTGATAAGTGTCTGAAAAATTGGGACGGACGGATTCTGCAAAAAATGTTACGATGCATGAGTGACTATTTCTTTAGTGTTAATTGAAAATACACTTCGCGAGGATGAAGCACAAGGATCATCATTGATCAAATGGTGTTTTTTTGCTTTTTTTGCTTTTTTTGCTAGATTATTTACTTATCAAGATAGCTCCGTCCTCCCCAGCTTTCATTCTGAAATCCAAGATTTGAGTAGAATCAAGCTCAAGGCGTTTCTTCCATCATTTAGCGTGTGCGTGAAACTGGTTTGACTTGGAAGAGTAATAATACGGTGTATCAGGAGAATCAAGAAGCAGATCGTTCGCATCCACAGCGTATTGATGCAACACGGGATAAGGGCTCAAGCCCGTACAGATGTCAACTAGTGATGGCACTGACTGGTTACTGAGACATGCAACCGAACTCTTGGAGCCAGTACTGTAGGTCTTGGTTGAAGTGTTCCGCAATGGCCTCCCAGTTTGGGTGAGAGGTGCTTGCTTCGCATTGTTGGGAT